CTAATACATTCTTCTGGTTTTAAGATCAAACATGATAATAGGCTATAGTCCAGTCCAGAGAATGGAGTATTTCCATCTCCTCCTCCTTTCTGGTAAAAGTGACAAGTTTCCTTGGTATCTATGTTAGAATAGAGATTCAGTTGCTTTTTTAGCAGATTACTGTCAATCTGCAGAGCAGTTTGTGGACTAACATATGTGCCCGTGCTGCACTTAAAACTGAAAACATTGTTCATATTTTTTATTTGCGTTACTCTAAGTTTACTTCAACAAGAAACATACATTAACTTCAGACYTGCTCCATCAACTTTTTCATGGAGATCCAAGGGAAAAGTTCCTTCCCATTTGCATGTGGGATACTTCAAAGCAGTAGGCAAAATCCCATGATCATGAAGCACTGATAATCCCCTAAGTGCTTTACAGTATAATCGTTAAAGTTTCTTGTTGGAGTAACCTTAGAGTAGAAAATTATGTTCTTGGACATTCTTGTCAAAGAAATGAGGCAACTCCATTGAGTTATGTGTGGGAGAAAAGAAAAACTGTATCTAAATGCACCTAGTCCATTACTCTCYAGAAGTTACTTCAGTGAATGATGGAGCTTTCCAGAAAATCATCAAAACAGCACTCAGTAGAAAGGACCTGGGGCAGCGGCTCTGTCATGTGTGAGTGTAGGTAGTCACTTCTGCAGCCTTCAAAGAACCCTGGAAAGATCCCTGGTGGGCTGGTGAGAAAGGTCCCAGCMCTTGCGTGTCCTGGTAGCCCTCCATAGGCGTCCTGGAGCAGGGGGCTGGGCTGTTTCCACAGCCAAGGCAGCTCCYTTGTTTGACAGCTCCCTCGTTTCACCCCATTTGGAGGTCTAAGCCTTGAGCATTTGTCGAGAGGTGTGAACCAACCTGCAGATACGGTCCCATGTTACATCCCAGCGTCTCTTCTCAAGTTGTCCAACTCATCTTGCCACCCTTATCACCCTTCCTATCTCCTTGGCCATGTTCTRCCCGGTTTGCTGTTGCAGCGGCTGGTGAGCGCCCGCCGCACTGTGGTGGCAGAGGGCTCCATGGGCATCGCTGCAGAAAACCCTGGCAGATAAACCAGAGGTGGTCTGTTTGGAGCAGGAGGCTCAGTGTGGCAGCTGACGTGATGTTACTGCCACAATCTGCCCCCTTCTTCGGCTCTCAGGCCTTGCGTGGCCTGTCCAGCTGTGTCTGCGTAGGCCGAGGCACATGAGGCCTGTGCGACCGCTGCCCACCCCCCTTCTTCCCCTTGGGCTTGTCCCCGGCTYACAAGCCAAGCACTAAAACTAAAACTGGAACAGCTGATTTGGTGGAWGCTTTTGGAGTCTTTCCTGCAAGTATCTAAGATATTAAATAACTATCACAACTCTGAAAGGGCCACAAATGAGAAGCGCCACTGCCTGAACACGCCTTCACATTTATGGGTCTGTTTCTCATGGAATCTTGCAGCCATGTCCTGGTGTGACTGCACCTTCAAAACTCACCTGTGCTTGGTGGATCACGTGGCTCCATCACCTCTGTGACACCCCGGGTCCAGCTGAGATTCACACAGACTTCAGTCACTGCCGGGATGTCACTTGTCCCCGCTGGAGCGGTGCAGGAGGGAGCTCCCCTCTGTGCTCCTGCACCRTTCGGAGCTACAGCGAGGACAGTTCCTTACTGGGCTGCCGACCATACACAAGGACCTTAAAGCAAGCACCACCATCGTGGACATAGGAAGATACTCTGAAGCTCAGGGGAACCATGAGGACTGTAATTTTGGGGGAGGACTTTGCATTTTGGGGAAAAACAAGATCTCTCAAGATCAGCCATCATCTTGAAGGCCAGCTCCATGCAATGCCCGTACAAGCAGTTGCTCAAAGGTGAAARAGATAATAATTTCTTCACAGTAGTGGGAATCATTTCCATGAGCTCTATTCCTGCTTCAGGGGAGCTCTGGCTCTAATTTACAGGGCAGAGCTGTGTAAATCGATTTAGAGGGCAGGCGCGGTGGGGCACAGGAAGCGTTTCCTGAGGCGAGTTCTCCCATTTGGGCTTTTTGCGGAGCAGGAGACAGGTGAGGCCTCAGTGCAGCGGATGGAAGGCTCCATGCTCAAAGCTGCAAGGTGTCTGTGCACCCCAGAGTGCTAATACACACAGGCTCGCAATTACAGTGCCATGGTTAATGATATCCATAGCGTGGGGCCATGTTACCACTCAGAGCTTGCTTTTCTTGTCACGTTGCTTTGATTTAGTTTCAGGCATGCTTGTCAGATTTAACAAGATCAGACATCCTGCCTAAGCTGTTTTCCTGTGACCAGGTAATAGGTAGAAGTTGATTGTTTGGATGACTGACACAGTTTGAAAGAGATCAACAATGGAGGAAAAAGGAGAGGAGAGGAGAGGAGAGGAGAGGAGAGGAGAGGA